AAGTCTGGGAAGTACTCTGAACAGTAGTGATGTACACATGTAATGTATATATATATATATATATTGGCAATGAAACTGAGGCCAGACGGCTTGGCAAGCTTTTTACCGGCACTCCGGGACGCTTCGCTCTTGGTCTTACTGCACCGTTTGCTGAAAGCTGGACAGACAGCTGGGGAGCTCATGTCCCTCAGCAGCAGTCTATCACAGCAACCACGGAAGATCTTGAATTGCCTTCCCAAGTGGTTGTTCTTGTTCCCCTCCATCCGACAGTTTGGTGGTTTACAATTTGACTTCCTAATCTGTATTTTTGCATATGTTTGCAAACAACTCTTTACATCAATCCGTTCAGTATACTACTGGTTTTGGCCTGTGTGGACCTGACTTCCTAATATGACACGCAAACTGACTACAGGAAGACTTACTAAGTCCTCAGTGTGACTGCCCTGCTCACGTTCAGCCAGCCTTTTTTCCCCTGTACACATGATTACTGTACATCGTATTGTATACATATGTCACATGTCAGTCACACGATGGTCACATGATATACTGTATTGGTTGACTTTGACTTTGACATTGGCTGAATTTGTGAAGGTATAGCAGTCGGATCCTCTCCACTCAGCGGCGGGAACTGTGGCAGAACACCCGAGAGCGCCGAGTTATTGCAAGCCTTTTGACGCAGTTTGGATGCATTGAATTGAATTATTCTGAATATGTTGTGTGTATACTTGGATTTTGTTTGCGTATCCTCCCAGTTTTGCCCCTGAGGATCTAGGGGACTTGTGAATTCATCCACAGTTTTGCAAGAACAACGAGTCAACAAGCCTCCAAACAAGAATGGGGTCTGAAACGACACCAGCAAATAGACTTGAGCAGGTTGTAGGGCCGTAGGGACCCCCCTCGACTCGCAGAACAGCAGTCTTGTGTGTAGTCGGTCGTGTAAGACCGGCAGTACCTTTCATCAATGACTAGATCTGACATTGACTTGTGAGTGACCCGACTGTGAGTGTAGAACTTGAGGACGCAAGGCAAACACTCGCAGGCTTTCCACAACTTCCCTCTTTGGATTCATGCGATGCGCCGAACATTAACGTATTCCATCAAAGGCTAATCAAAGGCATAAGCAGCATCACAGGCTGGAGGTTGGCCTAGGGTTTATGAAGCCTTAGATGATGTTGGTTGTTGTTTACCTCAAAAAGTTGTCAGGTCCAGACAACACCTCAACAAAGTATTTCACGAGCAAGGGTGGACGGTGGACGGATCCATTTACAGAATCACCAACTGTTTGTATTTGTTTGCTGCCCTGACGTGCACAGCTGTTGTTTTTCTTGACACCTGAATGTACTTTTTTTGCAATGAGGGGCACACTGCAACAACGAAGTGGAGAAGAGTCAGCACCATGGCCTGAGCGTCAATGCTAGTAGATCTAGTAGTGACTTCTGTCCTTGACGCTTTTGCATTGAACCACACCACCACATCTCCAGACACATCTCCAGATCCAGCACCTATCATTTCACAGAATAACTGTCAGTGCTCACTTATATAACTTGGTGTATTTCGGGATATGTTTGGCTTGACTTAGAGACTATTTGAAGCACACTATAACAATTGACAATGCCGCTGCATTTCCCGCTGGAGGAGGTCTCAGCCCCTGAGCCGTTGGATGAGACTCTTGGCTGAATCCTATTTGTCGCTCATGGTGGCCAAATGAGTTTCCTGTATTCTCACCTTGTCCATCCTAGTCGCATGTCAAACAAGAGTTTTTGTCCATACACTTGTTGAGACACACTTAAGCAATCCACTTGTTGCGCAATGGCGCTGTTTGCAGTTTCCAGGACTTTTTGCTTCGAGAAAGATTCAAATTCAATCTGTTTTCAACTGTTTTCATATGATCCCGATCCCATCATGGCACATGGGGCAAACTTTCCGACATCATTAACAGCATGTCGAGGACATTTGTGGCCAGTTGGCAGCTTCCTGTCATTTTTGCTGAATAGATTTGAGCAGGTGTTAGATTGCCCAAGAATTAATTTGATTGATGACGGGAGATGTAGAAGGAAGGGACTAAGCTTGAGGCAAGCGCCCTTGGCCTTTGAGCGGGCCTGTGCTGAGCTGATCACAGCTGGCAGCCCAGGTGCCCAACTTCCTCAAGATGTTGAAACTGCTGAATTCACAATTTGACATCACTTTCCATGCTAATATGTGAGAAGAGAAGCATCCTTCAGTTTCTTTTCGCTGCTGTATAGGTGTCAGCTAATTTGAGAACATATTAGCACCTATGTGAGAGCACACATCCAAGATCACTTGGAGAAAACTCCACCAAATGTTCCGCCTGCTACGAAATGTGCAGTTCTAGGTTTACAAAGTACTGCGCCTGGGCGCTTGCAATTTCTAGGGCAGCGACAGCGATTTCCGGCGCTGAATGTGCTCTACAGAGCCGAAAGCGAACAAGCTTCGCCGCAGAAGCAAACATGCTCAAGACATCACAGGCTCAAGCAGGAAAAGCTCTTTTGGCCAACGGCAAAGAAGACAGTTGTCATACTGGAAAGTTGGAAACACAATGAAAGACTTATATAACAATGAGGGCTTCACTACTTGGACAGATGACATTCGACGTCATTCGACCATTCGTGCCGAAGCGACTTCGTTGCAAGGATCAGATGTGTGGCTCAGCATGGTAAAGCTCTCTGAAGAACCCACGGAGGACTCATACGGAGAAAGTTACCACAATTATATCACTTCAGGGAAATCACTTGGTTGGTGGAAATCGCATACATTGAATCGCCACACATGGAAAAGTATTACAGTAGTAATTAACGTTGGTATGAGTGGCTCCAGGACAGCGACAGCTCTGCTTCGGAAGAGCATAGTCCAACGCGCCGAGGACCGCGGAGCAAGCGCGCTTGCAGTTTGCAAAGTAACATGGAGATCAGTTTTTGTCGTTGTTGAAGGGGGAACATCAATGTGTGTTTGTTTTGAATGGTTTCTTGGAGCAAGCAAGCGTGATATTTGTACACATAGTGCGATGGTCATGTGCACAGAATGGGTGGCGTGGTGAAAAAGGAACATGTTTTTCTGTTGCAAGCAGCTTCACAAGCCCTTTGCTTATCAAGCAGAGGAGCGTGGTGACATGGGTACTCTATAAGGCTGCGCAGAAAAGGCTTGCAAAGTTTCAAGTCCAACAGGTCTGCGCAGTGCATCGTGCAGGACAAGCAGATCTCCTCCGACAGGAGGGCATTATTTGTGAGCCAAAGATGCCCGGCAGCACCTGAATCCAACAGCAGGCCGCCCCCACCTGTGATACCTAAAATGAATGAAACCCCACTCAAAACCCTCCAAGAGAACTACACACACACCAAGCATTTTGGGGTTACATGTTCGCAACCATCCTTAAGTCAGAGTGAACTTTTCATTTGTAAATTACAGTAAACAAGATGGAGCCCACAAACCCGAATACAAACACGTTCGAAAAGCTACATATGTCCAAATGACACTCTTGTAGGACACTCTTGTGGGACACTCTTGTGGGACACTCTTGTACGACACTCTTGTGGGACACTCTTGTAGGACACTCTTGTGGGTCACTCTTGTAGGAAGCTCTTGCGGGGCACTCTTTTGGGTGGGACACTCTTGTGGGTCACTCGTGTAGGAAACTCTTGTGGGACACTCTTACGGGACACTCTTGGACGACACTCTTGTGGGACACTCTTATAGGACACTCTTGTGGGACACTCTTACGCGACACTCTTGTAGGACACTCTTGTGTGTCACTCTTGTAGGACACATTTGTGGGTCACTCTTATGGGACACTCTTGTCGGACACTCTTGTAGGACACTCTTGTGGGACACTCTTATAGGACACATTTGTGGGTCACTCTTATGGGACACTCTTGTCGGACACTCTTGTGGGACACTCTTGTGAGACACTCTTGTAGGACACGCTTGAGGGTCACTCTTACAGGAGACTCTTGTGGGACACTCTTGTGGGACACTCTTGTAGGACACTCTTGTGGGACACTCTTGTGGGACACTCTTGTAGAACACTTTTGTAGGACACTCTTGTGGGTCACTCTTGTAGGAAACTCTTGTGGGACACTCTTACGGGACACTCTTGTAGGACACTCTTGTGTGTCACTCTTGTAGGACACTCTTGTGGGGCATGCGTGTAGGACACTCCACTCTTGTAGGAAACTCTTGTGGGACACTCTTACGGGACACTCTTGTAGGACACTCTTGTGGGTCACTCTTGTAGGACACTCTTGTGGGACACTCTTGTAGGACACTCTTGTGGGTCACTCTTGTAGGAAGCTCTTGCGGGGCACTCTTTTGGGACACTCTTGTAGGAAACTCCTGTGGGACACTCTTATGGGACACTCTTCTCGGACACTCTTGTTGTGGGACACTCTTACGGGACACTCTTGTTGGACACTCTTCTAGGACACTCTTGTGGGACGCTCTAGTCGCTCACCAGCGACACGCCGTGTTTACACAAGCATGTTTCGCGCTGCCCAGTGGCACGGCGCATCGCAAACGCACTTCCCACCAAGGCCGCGCAAATCCGCATGGCGCAGCGACACCACGAACGTAATTTCGCCACACGGTCCGCCGCCCACTAGAAGCAAACATATCACACGATACCACCAATCATCCCGCTCACCAGCGACACGCCGCGTTTACACCAGCATGTTTCGCGCTCCACGCAAACGCACTTTCCACCAAGGCCGCGCAAATCCGCGTGGCACTGCGACATCACGAACGTATTTTCGCCACACGGTCTGCCCGCACACTAGAAACAAGCATATCACATGATACCACCAATCATCCCGCTCACCAGCCACGCGCCGCGTTTACACCAGCATGTTTCGCCCTAATTCCCAGTGGCGCGGCGCCGCGCAAACGCACTTCCCACCAAGGCCGCGCAAATCCGCATGGCGCTGCGACATCACGAACGCAAACATATCGCGCGATACCACCAATCATCTCACCAGCGACACGCCGGGGCAGGCGAGGCTTCGAATCACGCTTCAAGTCTGCAAAACGAGCGTTTCGTACGAGACTTCCTCCAAAACTCACGCTTCGAGTCTGCAAGACGAGCGTTTTTCGTACGAGACTTCCTCCAAAAGTCACACATCAAGTCTCCAAAACAAGCGTTTCGTACGAGACGTCCTCAAAAACTCACGTGTCAAAGTCTGCAACACACACTTGAGAAGGTTGCTCCGTGGAGCTTGTCTTCAGGCAATTCGCGGTGAACATTAGCCCTTCAAGTGAATACTTAGCACTTGACTTGCAAAACCGCAGGAATGAAAGGTCAGCGCAACTGAATGTTTGAACAAACGCATTAGCTCTTTAAAATATGTCAAAAAAGTTGTGCAGGTACGTTTTCACGGCAACATGGATGGGTCTTCGTTGGCCCATGCCATCCATGTGCCCATGGGCCCCTGCTGTTGCAAACTGTACATTGACAATGAAAGAAAGGAGAATTAGTAGAGAGTAGTGCCCCTGGAAACGGGGTTTGACACACACAGAAAGCCGTAATCGGCGCAACTAGTAAAAGTGTTGAGCGTACTGTCAATGAGCTCTGCAATGCATGTCCCCTGCGTGAAAACAGGTTTTGGGGAGTTTCCCACCGTCTTTGCAAGCGACCTCTGTTTTGTGGAGAACTCTGGCAACGTGCTTCCAGTTGGGTCGTGGCTTCTTGTTGTGTTTTTGCTCGGTGAGCTTCTCGTCATCGCTCGTATGACTGATGCTGATAGCAGCAGAGGCAGTGCTGGTGTGACTGATGCTGATAGCAGTGCTGTTTGTGGAAAAAGGACTTGTGAGGATGTGGCTTGTTTAGGTGGTGCTGCTGGTAGCAGTGGCACTGCGCTGTGAACGGGGCTGAGGCTGGTGGGAGTGTTGTTGGTGGAAGTGTTGTTGGTGGAAAGTGTGCCTGTGAGGGTGTGATTGGAGCAGTAGGGCGGCTTGTGGGAGCAGCACCGGTGTAACTGATGCTGGTAGCGGTGTTGGGTGTTGATTTACGCTTGTGAGGGTGTGGCGTGTTTGGGTAGCGCTGGTGCGGGCAAAATCTGTGCCTGCGGTGTTTTGTCGTTGTCAATTTTGAGGCCCCGGGGTGTGAGCCACCGAGCCCCGGTGTTAGGCGCCCCTTGTTATGTAGCGCTGTTTGTGGGAAAAGTTCTGGTAGGACTGATGCTGGTAGCGGTGTGTGTTGCTGCGCTTGTGCTGGTGGGGGTGCGATGTGTTTGATCTTTGTGGAGAGTGGGGTGGGTATGATGGCTGGAAACAGGGTTGGCTGTTGTGAATGTGGTTGAGGGGAGGTTGCCGGTAGCAGCGCTGGTAGGACTGACGCTGATAGCAGTGTTGTTTGAGGAAGGTAGGCGCGGCTTGTTTTGGTAGGTGCTGATCGTAGCCAGTGCTGGTAGCTGTGTTGCTTGCGGAAAACTGGGCTTCTGAGGGTGTGACTTGTCCGCCGTTCTCTGGTAACAGTGCTGGGCAACGCTGATACTGGCTGTACTGTAGTGTGAGCAATGTCTGGAGGGTAGGTGTATTGTTGTAAGGTGTGGTATCTTGATTGTAGGCAATTGAACGCAAAGGGAATCACCGACTGTAAACATTGTAGTTCAGCCACTGTACTGAAAGTCTCGGCTCTGCAAATCGAATCAAAGTGGTGTATATAAATATGTACGACAGTGTAGATCTCGAAAATCTGGTATGTATGACTGCAAAGTGGAGGAGTGAGCAAGACACAGACTCTAATCAAAATGAAAATCTTGAAAAATTGAAAAGTTGAAAAGAAAAGAATTCAAATTGAAAGTGATGGCTTCTGGGTGAGACTTGATTCAGTTGAACTCTGCAGTATACTTCAGTAAGAATTTCAGTGAACTCTGCAGTAAAATTCACGTGTGCAAGGTGAGACACTCCGAACAAGCTGATTTCGAGCAGGAAAATTCAGTCGAATGGATTTCAGAAAACTCAGAGAAATTACTCCCACGGTGAGGAGTGAGAAGGTTCTCTCGGTAACAGCGCCCCGTAGGGATCACACAGCTTACCACGGTGGGAAGAAGCTGCGAAACACACTTGAGAAGGTTGCTCCGTGGAGCTTGTCTTCAGGCAATTCGCGGTGAGCATTAGCCCTTTAAGTGAATACTTAGCACTTGACTTGCAAAACCGCAGGAATGAAAGGTCAGCGCAACTGAATGTTTGAACAAACGCATTACTTTGAAGCTGCTGGTTTTGCTAATGAGTTATGGCTGTTAAGAGCATTAGCTAAAGAGTTAGTAACTAGTTATAACTAGTTAGTAAAAGCTGATTTTTAAAAATTCCAAAGTCAAATTTTTTAAAAATGTAAAATATATTTTTGTTTTTTGTCGGCCAAAAACACAATGTGTTCCTTTTAAACTCCAAAAAAAGGAAAGCAGGTACATGCACAAGTAAATCCCACGAATGTTTCAACCAAACATGTTGGCATTGAACATTTAAAAGTCATACACTATATGAAAGATGGGCACCAACCTGGAACGCTTCTGCAGGTATACTAATGACAACAAAATGTACTGCATTGTCCATTTGGTTTGGCTTTCCAAAATACAAAAACAAAAAATACAAACAATCCAAAGATTGGTGCCACAAGCAGCTGATTTGGCATTTGGTGATGAAAAACAAGCAAACACTTCAAGAGCCTATACAGGCTGTATAGCCTTCAATGGCAAATGTAGCATTTGCAGGCCTATACAGGCTGTAGCCTACACATGCCAAAACATAAGCTTGCAAAAGCTAACCTCGTACCAGAACACAAGCTTCCAAAAACTATGTGCAATTGTGAAACAGATTTTTCACTCTGGGCAAGACAAAAGTGCAGGGGTCAAACAGGTGAGTGTGCCATCCTTTCCATGTGAATGGATGACAGGCTGCAGCACTTCTCTCACATCCACCAACTTCAAAGCACCACCTGCTTGCCATTTGCTAGATTCTGTGCCAGCCCTGAGGCCAAGAAGTGTGAACATGTCCACCAGGCACAGCAACAAGCCTGCTGCATCAAAGAAATGCTTGACTTGACCACACTGCCAAAACTCATTGCCACCAGGATGCTTTTGCATGAATACAACATCATCTTTGTAACAAGTTGCCCCATTCTGCAAGATGCAGCGCTTTGAGTACACCATGCCAGGAACAAAGCACTGAAGCTCTTGAAACATCTTTTCCAGCTTCTTGGTGAGGCCAGAAGGGTTGATCAAATGGCAACTGGCCTTGAACAAA